AAAAAAATACTATTGATCTGTTGTGCTTTTACCTGGATTTGAGAGCAACATCAACCTTTGGGCTTTTTTCAGAAATATTCTGACAGTAGAAAAAATACTGACTACTCCATTTTTTACACAGGGTCAACATTACGAAGAGGAAAAACGGGCTTTGAGCCATGAAATAATTGCACTCAATAATCACTTAATAGAGGCCAAGGTGACAATAGATAAGTTGTCAGAAGACAATGTAAGTATTTAATTATGGGTACATCTTGAGATTATATTCGGAAATAAATTAGGCCATGCACTTCCCATGAAATTATAGAATAACTTCTTATTGTTTATGTAAAATGTATCTTGTCACCTTGACAGTTAAAATTAATTTTTGATTGTTCCCATCATTTTGTAAATTCCTCTCTCTTTATGCTATGGGGTTGGGGTGAGACTTTTAATTGATGTTTTTTTCCTTATGTCTAACTTAAAACTAATGAAAAAAATATTCTAAGAAATGGCAGTATTCCCACATGGATTTTGCCATCGGTTTCCATCTAGTACAGAAAACTGGTGCAAGAACATGCTCAGGGCTATTGCATGGACACTTCTAGGGAGTGAGGATTCATCATAAGGATTTTAGGCACAGTGTAGAGCTCTACATTTCCTGCAGTTCCTCTAATCTTTCAATCTTTGCTCACTGAAATCATAGAATCATAGAATCATTATGGTTGGAAGAGACCTCAAAGATCATCAAGTCCAACCGTATACCTGATGGTATGGGATGCCTAGGACAAGTAAGCTCTACTAGCAGAGGGTAGGATTGGCCCAACCTGGTCGCTCAGATTACTGCAGGGAGCAGGAGCAAGGTTTTGCCCAGCTGTGGTTCATGTGAAACAATTTATCTGTCTCTGTGTGGAACAAAACAGGGAACATCTCTGGCAATGATCACCCTGCATCTCATTAAACACAGCTGAAAACTGGTGTGCGTACTGCAGCGGCAACCAAGCTCATGGAATCCTTCCAGGGACAAACCTAAAAAGACAGCAAAGACAGGAAGATTGCAGGCATTTAGTTCATTATTGTGCCATTCCTTAGACACTTAATAAAAAATTCATCTACAGAAGACATGTTTCTGTTAGTGCTTATTTTTCAGCATCTTACATTCAATCTTCCCATATTTCATATGAACTCTTAATCATAGCAGGGAGCATTTGACCCCATTAATACACCTGTTGATGTGAATTGGGCCTATGCAATAAATAGCTTTCCAGCGGAAACAAAGAGTTCACAATCTGACCCTTTACTTTTATAGAAATTGTGTTGAAATAGCAGTTGCTTCATAACTCCAATATCTATAACTAATGGAACATGGTAAGTGCAATGGGCTACATTCAGGTTTTAGAAGCACAGGTACACATCCAGACTAATTCAGCTGAAATCAGTGGAGTTATTTCAGATTTTAAACAGAGGGGGGAAAAAAATATAAAACTCTCCCAATAAGTATGCATGCAATTACACTACTTCATGGAGTCAGGTTTGAGCCCACATTTGAAGAAGTGTTTTCAATATTCATAGTTTTTAAAAGGTGGCTTAGACTGGACTGGAGTTCAGAGTATGCTTCCAAGCATTATTCTGAACTACTCTAAACATTAGACTATGGTCCAGAAGCCTCAACTAGCAGTACCACTTCTTCATACTCGAGGTCAATTCACAGACAAAATCATGCCCTTAGTTATATAGCATCATTAATGAAACTAAAGGTTAAATTCCAAATTTTAAAATAAAGAACTATGAATCAAACCATTAATATTATATCTAATAAGTAGAGACAGTGTTAAACTGAAGAATCCTACATGGGGAGAACTTGGTTTTGTCTTGCCGATATTTCTTTCTTCAAATATATTTCCCCTTATTCTTCTGACAGATATGCAAAATGACGCTTTTGATGCAAAAACATGCTTTAGACTATGGGAAACAATTACTGATTAGTGTTCTAGTTGCCACAAATGTGGCTAGTTTCTATTCAGATAAACATTAAAGAACAGAAAGTCACTCCAGTTGCATGGCATGTCCCGGCATGCTGAGAACAATGTACACATGGCACATTTAACTCACATGTGATTTTTCTGTAGTAATTTTTAAAGCTGCTAAAAATAAAGTGTCAGAAATGCTTTTTGTACTCTCCCTGACAACCAATTCACAGAAACAAAGGCACAAAGCTTTTGAAGAAAGGATTAGGTTTTGGAGTGATTTCATTTTTGTGTGCCTGGTAATGCCATATGGGACTTGGAGTACTTGTCTGTGCTATACATTGTGTAGCAACATGTTCTGTGTTTAATGTGCATGTAACATGTCAGAATCACATGCATATGCAAGACATTTTGCTTCTAAATTGAATTCTTGGATTCCTACTGTTTGCATCTGTTTTCAGGAATAAAAATAATGTGTACTAATACAAAATTTAAGACCTACATGAATGAATGTGTCTCCCCAGTACATTTAAGGCAGAAGTAGCATGTTTAAATCTCATGCAGACACAAAAAAAACTCCCATAATCCAAGAGTATCTAAAGGCCCTTGAATACGAAGATATAATGAACTAATGATCATAGGAAAACTACATTTCCTACCCCCACGCCTCACAGATTCCAGGAACATCTTGTTGCACCTGTTATTATAGAAAACTTTTTAAATGGTATTTTTAAACAGAGGGAATTTCCACCTTTCCTTTTCATAGAAAATTTCTTTATAAGTTTTTAAAAGAACAAGTGGAACAGTAAAAATCTGCATGTAATAAAATTATAACATTAATGCCAGAGAAAATTCAAATCACTTCAGTATTCAACACCTTTTCTCTATAAAAATTTTCTAATTTTTACAGAATAACACAGCCTAGTGTCCATAGTACCTTTATGTCTTGTCTATCTCATCTATGCCCACCTAGAAAGGCAACATCTGAAGCCAACTCTGTTTTTTAATGGCACCTAGATCAGGAAAAGCAACGTACAACTCTTACATCCAGGGACTCAGAGATACTGGTGGAAGGATACAGTTACACAGTTGTGTGCGTGCTAAATTAAATTTAGACGAAGGGCAAATCTATGTACTGAATTTTCCCATTAAAGAGACTGTGGGAGCCATTCAATACAAAAATAGTGTAAGTGGCTTGTTTAAATTCTCTTTTTCCCTGAGTGGAATTCTCATGGTAATTTCTTACCCTGTAAAAATATCCTGTTCTGCAGCATCGAATATTTGCTGTGAGATTTAATGTATTTGTATAGCTGCATTCTGCAAGATATGAAAGGAGCCAGGAACCAGTAAGAAAGTTTCATAAGGAGACAAAGGCTTTCTTTTTAAAAAACAATACAATATATATTTCTGCAATGAATTTCTGCAATGAATTTCTCCCACAGTCTCATAAGATTATTTAAACATTATCTAAAGTAGTATTTTAGTGGTGATCTGGATAATACTCAGTAAAAATTGTCTGTTCTTAAATTTTCTTTTTGCTTAGAAGATCATGTTTATTTTAACCTTCATAGCGCCATGCATGTTAAGAGTATAAAGTGCAGTTCCTAACGGTAAGTATCCATCTTTTGAAATGCAGATTACTATTCTGTAGTAGCAGTTCTCAAAATTTTCTTTTTAGTAATTTTATCAGCTCTCATGGAGCAAAGAGGCAAACAGTTTAGGACCGTGCAAGAAACACGGAATCTTCGTGTATTTAAAAGTTAAAGTATGCTCCAAATTTCCTCAAAGTCAATTTTTAAAAGATTGCTTAGGCATGGGAGAAAGGCTAAAAGCTGCAAGCTATTTGCAAACTTTAGAAAACAAGGTATTTTTTGTTTTTCTAGGAGCTCTATAGGAAGGACTGCAATTTAGCTGCTCAGTTGCTCCAGTGCAGCAAGAATTACGACAGGGCACATAAGCTTTCAGAGGTAATGTGACCGAACTTGGTGAATATTCAAAGAAATAAATATTTTATGGAAAACAGGTTATTTTACATGTATCAATTCCAGAACTTGTTTGCCCTTAAGGCTTTGATTCCTCCCCCCCTCCCTTAAGCAACAGGAGGGCTTGTGCACCTGTGGGTATTCTGTGCAGGAGGGAGCTGCTGACAAAATCACAGCCAGTGATGGAACTCGGAGGTACTCTCTTCCCCCAAAATTCTGCTATCCAATAGAATGGGTCCGCACTGATTATATGAAAAATAAAGGTTTTAGCAAAACCAAAGTGCTGAGAACTCTAGACTGCAAAATGCTGGGGAGGAACAGAGGGGTGAGATCAGGGAAATGACAGGCTGCAGGCATCAGAGATTCTCATATAATCAATTTTCCTCCTGAAGCTATTTTCCAGTCCAGCTAATTTCTAACCATGAATTTTAAAATGGACTGACAGAACAAATATCTTTTTCTAATGCAACCAGAGCACTGAATGATTGATTTCCAAGGTGTAAACTTTAATTAATAATCCTCGCTTCCAAGGAAACTAAACTTGAGAAACAGACTCCTTAAAGGGGAGGTAAACATTACCTTAGTGAACAAGATTGTCCTTAGGGATGCAGGCCTTATGCAAAGCAAGAGCACCTTCCTCACGTGTATTGCTTTGGTGAAGGTCACAGAGAAAAGCCTTCCCTTCATCGGTCCCATCAGGTTAACATCAGCCCAAATGATCTGCCTTGTGCAAGTCTGCAATGGAATAATGCAAAATTGAATGTGCAACGTATAAACCATTTCTAACCCAGTAGACAGCTTCAGAGCACTAAACAACCCTGGCAAATAAGGATAGAGCAAGACTCTTCTGTCAAATGGGCGATGATTTTCCAGAACAGAGACAGACCTTCCAAATTAACCATTATCTCAGTCCTGTTATTTTTTCCTAGTAACTGACTTCCCTTAGCAATTCTTATCCAGGAATCATCATGACATTGCTCACACTTGAAAGCAACCTACCTGTTAGCAAGAATTACAACCTTAAAAGTAGTTAGTGGTTCACTTGCAGAAAACTATCCATCACAAATGTGGGATCTCCCCACAATTTCCCAGACTGTCATGCACTCAATTAAATAGGCAAAATCTCCACTTGTAAGCACAAGCATTTATTAATTCAGCAAGTGTGAATGTTCTGTTACAGCCAATAAATTCCTTACAAATGCAAATATTGCCTGACAAAGTATTGTATATTATCCAGAAGCCGAAACTATAGTACAATATAGTAATGTGACAGCAATATCATTGTAGTAATTCCAGTTTCCAGTGCAATGCCCAGAAAATAATGTTCTTTTTCTTAATCAAAATAATGCATATAAAATAGATCAAACAGTGGTGTTACAGGATACTAAAAGAATAGCTGCCCCATACAGCAGTTTCACGTTAAATGAACTGTATTTCTTTTCCTCCTTCCTGTGGCAATTTACAGCAGCCCTATTTTACAACCTGTTTATTCAATCTTTGTTGCATCTGTGCTTAATATGACTAATATTGCTGTCTGCCAGCAGACTGGCAATATCATACTCTTTATTTCCAATGGAAGACATATAAGCTAATTAACAACATAATGATTAATCCAAAATACCCTGGAAGGTCTGTTGGTTGAAAAAAACACTCATCTTACTCCACATATTAACAAGAATGCCATTTCACAACATGCCATATTTTGAATACATTGAGTTTTGGGGATTAAACCAACTTTAAAAACTGCCCAGTGAAGCTAAAAGAGGAGCTCCGTATCTTATACGATATGAGATCATTACAAGGAGCAGGCACCTTAGATTTTTCTTGCCAAAAATAGAAGGAGGACTCACCACTTCAGTATTTGTAGAGTCCTCTTCTCTAGAGAAACAAAGTTAAGGAGGGAGTGAGATTGTTAGGGCTATAACAGTAACCACCCATTGTTTGGTAAAGACGAACTTGATTTCTAGTTATACAAAGAAAGCGCCAAGTAAATCAGAGTTCAACCAAGCACTCAAGGGCTAAATTCCTAAGTGACGTAAATCAACAGGGATATCAAAGGAACTATCACAGTCACAACCTCAAAACTAGTCCAAACATGAGTTCTTCTGGTTTCCAGCAAGAAATACTGGGCTCTCTCTCATAGCCCTGTCTGACTAAGTGACATAAATCAACAGGGATATCAAAGGAGCTATCACAGTCACAACCTCAAAACTTAGTCCAAACATGAGTTCTTCTGGTTTCCAGCAAGAAATACTGGGCTCTCTCTCATAGCCCTGTCTGATCATTGATAGAGATCTGAAATGAGCAAGGCAGATAACATTTCACTAGAAAACATGCTTGGGGATACCTGCATAGGCATTAGCTACCAGACTTTAAAGCCACACCAAGGAATGTGGTCTCTCAATATTTTCTGGTTTACATGACAGAATGACAGGTGGAATCACCATCCAGAGAGCTGATCTTGACTTTCTTCAAAAACGATATGATTTCTGATGCATAACACACTTATTGATTAATTCTGACTAGTTTGTCAGGAATCATAATGTAAATTTAGGTCTTAGCTCTTATCTCTGTCCATGTAGTAAGAAACTAGAAAAGCAATCAGCTAGCGGTTACTGGAAGAGGGGAACATGTTGAGGCTTATGTGGATGGTTGATCTCACAGGCAGTGTCTGATTGCTGGGGCAAGGAAGCCGGTTTGATTTCCTCCTTCCCAGCACAGGAACACTCCTGTCGTAGCAGCCAGTACCATTGCTTTAAGTGATAGTGAAACCAATTTTCCTGCCTCTTCAAATGGCATTGTTTATCAGCTGCGATGCTGGAGGGCAGGAGCCAATTTGGCACCAGCTTGGATGCAAGATGTGCTCGAAGAAAGGCAAAAGAAGAACAGAATAGATCTGACCTCTTCCTCCTCTTTCCTCACCCCAGCAGAGAAGTCTGTACCCCCACATTCCCAACTGCAAACTGCACCCATGCAAGCAGTCTGGAAAGTGTTGATGTAGGCTGGAATTCCCTACCTGCCATTTTAAGATTGTTTACTACATTCTTTACATCATTCCTGTCCAATCTGAATTAACTTGGAAGGAAACTTTTTAGTTTCACGGTGTTTTCCGTGAGGGGAAGCAGATGAAGATTTCCAAATGTTAAGTAAATACATGGAAGTCATTTGATTATGTTTGTTTTCAGAAATGCACAAAGATTGTGGCCATCACATTAGTCAAAGAACCATACTTGTAATGTCATAAGCAGCACTCATCTATCCACGTTGTATAAGCGCAGGCAGACACCAGTACTGACGTGTACCCTTTTCTCCTTTCCCCTTTGCCATCTCTTTATGTTACAGTTGCCATCTGACTTTCAGGAAAGAGTCAGCATCCATCTGGAAAAACATGGGTGCAGTCTTTCTGTCCCCTTGTGCCACACATCTTACGCTGATACCATACCCACTTGCGTCATTGCCAAAGTACTGGAAAAACCAGATCCAAACAGCTTGTCTTCACGCTTGTCGAGCCCATCTACAAGGGATCTCAATTTTCAGGACTCTGCCGGAAAACTCGGACAAAGGCCTCAGTACAAGTCGGACATCTACTGCAGTGACACCGCCCTTTACTGCCCCGAGGAGAGGAGGAGGGAGAGGAGGCAGAGTGTGGACACACAAGTAAAAGACGCGGGGTTCCTGCGGTCCCAGAACTCCATGGACAGCACCGTTGAAGAAGACGGTTTCCATTCCAGCTTCTCTCACGAAGCCTTCCCAGAGTACATTACCTCTCTGCCAACCTCCAGCTCCTATTCCAGCTTCAGCGTCACATCCGAGGAGAAGGAGAACGCCCAAGCCAACACTCTGACAGCCTCTCAGCAAGCAATCTACATGAGCAACCGAGATGAACTGTTTGAAAGAAAGTCACCTGCAGGTTATGAGCACCAGGGAAGTCCTAGGTTTGCCAAGTCCAAACCTGCGCAGCACATGGAACTTGCCGACGACAACGAGAACTCACCTACTTTTACTAGGAATCTGCCTCCGTACGCAAACGAACCTTTTCATTTCTCAGCCATAACACCACAGCAGGCTTTAGCAAATCAGAAAATGAGGAATGAGTGCAGGAGCACCCACCTTTCAGAAGAAGACTTGCCTGGGCGTTGGAGGCAATTGAGTGTGGAGGACATTGGTGCATACTCTTACAGGAATGCTGGCAGGCTGTCACCCTGTAGTTTTTCAGAGCAGTACTACAGCAGCCCTATTAAGAAGGGAGACAGTCGAACAAGCCCCATCTATGCCAGTTACAAAGCAGATAGCTGCTCAGAGGGAGACGATATCTGCCAAAGCAGACTTGTGGATTCTTGCTTCCTGAGAACAGACAGTGGCCTGAATATTGACATCAGCACTAGCTGTAAACAGGACAAATTGCCCACTTACAAAACAAAAGAATCAAGAGACCAAAAAAATGAAAGGATAACAGTCCAGTTATGCAGTAGCAAAAATATCGAAAATAGCCCGGTATTGAAAAGAGAATACGTGGATGTGAGCCCCAACAGCTCAGCAGAGTCCCTCAATCAGAGTTCAGTGGAGGCTTCAGAAATCCACCAGTCTTCCATGGAGCAAGGAAGCCATTCGGGTGTTCACAGCAAACAGCAGCAGTTTCAACGGACTGGGAGTACTGGTTTGAGTCGGAAGGACAGCCTTACAAAAGCACAATTATATGGAACCCTTCTGAACTAGGCATCTTCCAAAACGGCAATAAGACAACAAAGAAAAGGAAGCAAACAGCATTTGATACTTCTAGTGAACAATAAGGTTCTAAGAAACAGGATTGTTATAAAATATATATTCATAATGGTACTATATGTTTAAAACAAAATCTCTTCAAAAATGTTATACAGCACTTTTCACTTAACATTCTTTCCACATGGGAGACCGTCCCTTCCCCTCTTTTATAAACCTGAAATATTTTTATAAAAAAATGGTATTTATTAGACTATCCTATGCTATTTGAGCAGAATTCTTTTCCCTTCAAGCAGGTTTCTTATTTATTTTTGTGCATGAGGCCATCTGTGCCTAAACTCTTGGAGGAAAAGGGTAAAATCATGACGGCGGTGATAAAAAATAAATCCACCTGATAAAATACCATAAAATGTCATGTGAAAACACAACAAAGAACAATGGTGAATTTGAAGAAGTATATTTTTTAACAAGAATGGAATTGTATCTTAAGTTATTTCATACAAATGTATTTATGAGTGACTAATGTATGCACAAAGTGATACTAATATTTTGTTCTTTTAATCCACTGTGTTTCTGCTTTCCTATTTTTCCTTGTATACTACCTCAAAAGTAATTGAGGGTTTCTTTGTCACATTTTCTGTAGGCTTGCATTTATATCGTCTAAAATGCATGCAGTGTCATAATTAATACTGTATTTTGCATTACTTAATAAAAGACACTAGTGGAGATACTTTGGGTTGTGGGTTTTTTCCTTCATTAAAACATATCCTGGACAATAGAACATGGGATTGCTCTGGGTGGCATCAGTCCAGCAAAAGTTAATAAGTAAAGCTGCTGGTTTAGATTGCTTTCTAAAGGAGCCTTTCTTTCTTTGTAAACTCCAGAGCACTGGTTCACAGCCCACCGCCCCAGGGTGTTGAATCACAGCCTCTGAAAAGTAAACAAGGAAAACAAACTGTTTATCAACAGGCTTGAATTCATTAGGCAGGGCTCTGCACACTGAAAGGGAATTTGATAACTACTTGAAGACTTGTGACTTAAGCTCCTCCTCCATTACACACATACTTGACACAATCTTTTAGGTCTTCAGGGCTGTTATCTTCCACAGTTGCCCTTTTTTTCATATGTTGCTTGGTATTTCTAATAGAGATTTTTCTAAGGCTTAAGGAAAGTCTGGCCTTCTGTAGCCTATGAGAATTTCACTGCTGCCACTGAGAAGCTGTAGTTTTATCTGTACTTTTTGCATTTCCTCCATTGAGTTTTCTGTTTCTCACCATTTCACCTTTAAGGAGTGTACAACTTGGACAGCAGCAGAAGGGAAATAGTAAAAGGAGGAGAAAAAAAAGAGAGAAAGACAAATCCTGTGGCTTTCCTTCCTGGGTTCAGTATTGCTGCTTGGTAAAAGGCAGAATACAGAAATAAATATTTAATAATTCTTTTAAGTTGTGTTCATGGAACACATATCCTATACTTGAAATACTGACTTTTACCAGCTCATGTATGGGGAAAGGCCTTACTTAGTGCAGTATGTGGTAGTAATCAGTGATACCACTGTGGAAGTCTAAACTAGTTCCTTATAAAGCTAAAGTAATGACCCACCATTCAACATCTATTAAGAAAATACACTTTTTCTGCTGATTCTCTGAAAGCAGTCACCTGGCAAGTAACTATGAACCAGGACTATAGAACTGCTCATTTCCTACAGAAGTATCTTAAATCACGAGGCCACAGCTTTAACGCATTTGACATCAACAATTCCCACTGCTCTCCATATTCTTCGTGGATAATATAAAAATTTGACCATTATTGTGTGCAAGTACTTGCCGTGCTGTTTGGAAGATCTGGCATCAAGTCCCTACAGTTCCTCTGAGATCTGTAGCAGCATTGTGGAGAACAATGGTAGCTAATAATATCACACAGGTAAGGCACAACATAATTCTAAAGTGAGGCTTATTTCAGTACAAAATCTATAATACACCTTGTGCTTTTATGCTCCCATACTTGCTCACAGCCAGTGTCAGCGGCAGGTCATGTCACAAATAATTCCACAAAGTCCATAAAAAGTGCATAGAATAAAGTTTCAAAAGGCCAACTGCTTCTTATGGCAGACTCTGACTTGCAGTAAATAGACTTGGGGATCCAGAAAAGCTGTTATTTCCCCTTCGAAACACTAAGATAGAAAACAGATGCGAAAAAAACTCACTGTTGACTCATTCAGGTATATAAAATTTACACAATCTCTAAGGCAAGACATTCATTTATCTGGTCAATGAATACAAGTGAAAATTAACTAAAATACGTAAGATATTGAACAATAAATCATGACATTTATGAACTGCATCACAGTATCAGACTAATCCTTTTATAATATCATTCATTACTTGACACCAAACTGCTATTTTGGCAATTACACAAAAAGAAGTTTCTGCTAGATATTATACATCTGATTATTTAATATCCTGTTTTATTATATTCTTTCATACTACTGCAGTTTCAAAGTCTGCTTCCATGCTTCATCTGACTCTTTTTCCCAGTTTATGTGCACTAATATGTAGATTGAAATCAGTCTTTTCAGCCAATTAATCCTGGGTTTTCCTTGTAAAATAGTCTATAACGTTGTAACATTTTTCTGTAATGAATTCTGTTATAGAACAATATGTAACCCTGTAATGAATTTCAACTGAATCAATCAAAATTGTTAGAAAAGTTCTTCAGCTCTAATGTGTTGATTTTAATATCTCCTTAATCAGAAAAACTGACAGTAGATTTACAAATTTTCTATGAACATGAGAAAAAAAGTTTAAATAATTCACCTAAATTTTCTCAGATTTATGGATTTAACTATGATCTGATTTAATTTTTCTAAACAAAAAGAACTTTAAAATAGTATAATTTTTTTTTTTTTTTTTTCAGATTCGGTTTAGATTTCTTCAGACCACCACAGAGGGAGACCTGAGGCATAAGGCTAGAAAGATACCAGGTGTTTTCACAATAGCTTTAAATTTTCTTTGTGGTGAGGTCTTAATTTTTTGCTTACCTTTACTTTTCATACTGGGAAAAAATCATCCAAAAAATCCCGTCATGGAAAAGATTTTTGGAGTATGTCACTGGAGATATTTAAAACCAACTACCCATTTTTCTTCACTTAGTCTCTCCAGACTAGCCATGGTGCACTGTGATTTTAGGAGGGCTCTGTTGTGCCGTCAGACACATCTGTTTGGCTCAAGTATAGATATAGTTGTCACTGAGGTTTTAGGAGATTTAAATTGGTTAAAAATAGACCAGGTAGTAGATGGTGGGAGTGCAAATCAATAATATCTTGTTCAGAAGAAGATATGCTTTGACCCAGGAGAAAGAGGTGGTAGACCTGTCTGCCACGGCATTCATCAGAGCACTTGCCTTCTTAGGACCTTTCTGATGGAGAGTAGCATTTAAAACATCGTCCTCAGAACAGCTTACTTCCATTTTTCATTCAAGTAGGTGTGGTTTGATGAACTTGACTCTACTCTTACATTCATTTAATGACAAGTGACTCCAGAAATGTAAAACAACAGATCTTCAGCCAAAGAAAAGTGCCGCAGACCCCTCCACTCTGGTGGCTGAGAATTTGCTTTGAAATACATTTCCCCAAGGACATAAATGCTCAATTTTCTCTTAAGCATTATAAAAATGCCAATGTGTCTCCATGTTGCCGCAAAACCTCGCTTTTCCAGGTGATGTCTGAAGTAGTCAAATTCTGTATGCACGGTTTGTAGGTACCTTTAGCAGGACTTTTGCTTTGATTAATTATTTCATTTACCATGAGTAAGAACAGAATGTGAGGAAAAGAAGTGGCAAGTCCTCAACAGTGCAGTGAAGCAGAAGATGAGAAGTGTCATTTTAATGAATAAAAACTGAAAGCAAAATGTACATGACACAGAACACTGACCAGGGGAAAACAAAGGGGGCTGAAAGAGATCAGAGTGAGGCATATCAAACCACATATTAAAACAGGTAAGAATACAGAAAACATACCTGGGAAATAGGATGCAATTCACTAGGAACAATGGTGCACAAGCATTATGAAATCATGAAAACCAAATGCATTTTTTCAGATGTGAAAATAGTTTTTTCACTCCAAATTAAGGCTAAAACAAAGTGCAAATTCTCAGTTACTTTGAATAACACATATAACTTTCTTTCAAACTTTTTAGAAATCTACAAATATCTAAAATGTCTAAGTTTAAATCATGGCAAGCCACAAAATAGGTAATTTTCAATTCAACTGTTTCGAACTTCTTCTCCCAAACTAGAAAATTTATCAAACTAATCCTTCCCCCTTCCAGCACTTTTAATTAAAAAGAATTTCCACTCCAACATCTATCACAGAGCATGATTATACAGCTACTTAGATTAATTTCCCCTTGTTTAATTTTAAAATACTAATTGATATCCTTTGGACTTTTCTATAAAATTCTTATCCCCCATTCATGTTTACAGCCTTGTAATCCTTACAGACTACTATGATATCTCTCCTTAAATATTGCTTAAATTGTGCAGATGTGGTCCTCTCAGTTTTTCCTTGGAAGATACTCCCTTCAGGACTCTAGCTGTTTCTAATTCTTTTCAAGGAACACCCTTCTCACCTTTCTTCTGCTGAACACCAGAATATTTTAATATGAACACTGAGTTCTTCAAACCCACTGTACAAAAATCTGTACTAGGAAAGGAGGGGACTACACAGATTAGAGCAACTACATGTGTGATGCTCCCAGCACCAAAATTCTCAATAAAGGCAGGTAGTTGGTCAGAGATGTCCATAAGAAAAGCCTTACTCAAATGAAATGTGTTTTCATATAACAAAATTTAAAGGTTTGCATTATGATGCAAAGAATGCCAGGCCATGTTTCTAGAATGGGAGCTCATCTCCTGGAAATCAGTGCATTTGAAAAGCAAGTATTTTTCATATACTTCCCTTTCGTGTTGTCTGGAATTTCTTAAGTACTTACACAATAGCA